CCCGCCCTCCCGCCAGGTCCAGTCATTGGTTGTCTTGCCACATTCGCTTCATGTCTTTCTCATACTCATTTATTGTTGGATCGTGAGAGGGGCTGCGGCTGACCGTGCATTCGCGAGGGGATTCAGGCAGCAGGGCCAGGAATGGGGTCTCCTTAGATCTGCGGGGCCATCCTCACACGCGGGGCTGGGGGCACTTTTTCTCGAGTCAGCTAATAGCCTGCTCACCTCCAAATCTCCCGGTGTCTCGAGAGTGTCTTTGGCGGTGACTCTCTCTTCCCTGGCACCGGCAGGCCCCCAGCGTGGCCGGGCCGTGCCCCTTCCTGTATTTCCGTGTCAGGCTCCCACTGTCCCCGGTCATCGCTGGCAGACCACCTGTCGGGTCTCTGGTCTGCACTGGGGTGCTGTCCCACTGCGCTCTGCACTGGGGCGTGCAGGAGAGGCAGGTGCTCCGTGCTGTGCTGTCGGGGTCATGCCGTCCGCGTCCGCGTGGGTACCACTCGGGTTGCGCTGCTGGCCACACCTGTCAGCCCCCGATTTCCAGGGCCTTGGGGCGGGAGGAGCCTGCCGGGGAGCAGAGGCTGTCAGGACAGCCCTGGGGTCCCGCACAGGAGCCCAGAGCCGGGCCTTTGGCGACCGACTTACCCTGTGTCTCGCTAGAGGCTGAACCCCTGGCCCTCGGGCCGTTCAGCGCAGGAGCGTCAGGGGCCACCCCATCTTTTTCACGGGCACACCCAGTCGTCCCCCCCCCCCCCCCCCGCCCTTCTCTGCTTTTCGATGCTTTCAGCTGCCTGTTCCCCCTGACTGGGTAGAAAGCGTTTGAAGTTGTTCATGGGAACATGACTTTTGCTGTCGAATAAAGTAACTGCCTTTCTTTGCACAGAGATGGGCCTGGCAGGAGGCAGTTCATTTTCCCGGGCTTTTCATCCAGGCGCCTGGCGAGGCCACAGCGATCAGATGGGACATCTCAGTCCGCCCGGCTGGCCTGAGGCAGTGTCCCAGGCTCCCCGGGTCTGAGGTCCGAGATCCTGGTTCTGGGCGAGGACCCCTCTCGCTGTGCTCACCGGGACCCCACCGTGCATTTCAGCCTAATCGCCCCACATTGGGGCCGGTGCAGCGCGTACCGAGTTTGGCAGAGCTGGTGGCCACTGTTTTCCGTGCTTGGGAAACTGGCTCTTCCTTTTGCTAGGAGCTGCCCTGCTTCTAGAGACTGTTGTCTTCGTTTTCTGTGGCTGCATAACGAATTGCCACACACCTGGTGGCTTAAAAGGGCCCCCCACTCACTCGCCACAGGTCTGGGCGGCACAGTGGGACTGGCTCGGGCCACAGAGGCGGAAATGGCGCGTCAGCCAGTGGTGGCTCTGGTCTCGGGCCCTGTCCCTCTCCCTGCGCACTGGCTGGAGCGGGGTGCCCTCAGCTCCCAGGGCCCAGTCCTGTGCCCCGGGCTGTGGCAGCTGACATGGCACTGCTTTCTGCCCGGCCCCTCTCACCAGCCAGAGAGAACTCTGCTCCCAAAGGCCTTCCACGGGGTCAGGCCACCAGACTCTGCTTTTTTTTTTTTTAATGTATTTTTATCGATTTAGGAGAGGGAGATAGAAACATCATTGATCAGTTGCCTCCTGCACACCCCCTACTGGAGATCAAGCACACAACCCAGGCACGTGCCCTGACCGGGATTTGAACCGTGACCTCCTGGTTCATAGGTCAGTGCCCAACCATTGAGCCACGCCAGCCAGGCCACTTTTTATTTTTGTTTCTGTTAATCCTCACCTGAGGATATTTTTCCATTGATTTTTAGTGAGAGTGGAAGGGAGGGGGAGAGAGAGAGAAACATCCATGGGAGAGAGACACATTGATTGGTTGCCTCTTGCATGTGCCCCAACCCCAGCCAAGGATCCAGGCTGCAACCAAGGTGCATGCCCTCAACCGGAATGAAGCCGTGACCCTTCAGTCCATGGGCAAGTGATGTACCTACTGAGCCGCACCGGCCAGGGCTATTCTTAATTCTCTACGTTTTTTAAAAACTCAGGAATGGAGCCCTGGCCAGTGGTTCACTGGTTAGAGCACCAGCCAGTGCACCCAGTTCGATTCAAGGGTGTGTACCTGGCCCCCGTTGGGGCGCCTGCAAAAGGCAACCAAAAAGTGTGTCTCACTCCCATCGATGTCTCCCTCTCTCCGCCCCCCCTCTCAAAATATCGGGGAGAGACCCTTCAGTGAGGATTAACAACAACAGAAATTGGGATGAATTTCGTCAGGTGATTTTTGTGTGCATTGGGAGATCTTACGTTTTTCTCCGTTTGGTCACAAATTACACGTGCTTCTTATATTCACTCCTGTACTGGGATCAACCTGGCTCGTCGAGCAGGACCTGCCGTCCCGACGGGGCGCGGCCCCTCGGCTCTGTCCACCGCGGGCTCCGTCTGCGATCCCGCCAGCCTGGCCGGTGTGCGTGCTACGGCAGCCTCCGAAGACGAGGTGGGAATGACCGTCCTTCCTGCTGCCCCAGGGAGGTGCCTGAGATGGGGTCGGGAGAGCCGCTTCCAAGTAGTTACCGAACGCTCTGGGTCTCTGTGTGTACAGCCTCGACCAGGAAGGTATCGGTTTTATACACATTTGCAGCTTTACTGGCATAGACTTGTCCATACTATTGGGCTGTTGCTCACGTGTCACGGTTTTCAGTGAAGCCTCTGGGGCACCCGCCCGCCCACTCAGACTCACCTGCCGCCACCTCCCGACCTTACCTGCATTCCCCACTGCGTTCCCCTCACTGCCTCTTCCCTGTGACGGCGCGGCCCCAGGCACCTGCCCTTGTCAGCCGCTGGCAGAGGCCGCGCTGTGACAGCGCAGGGAGCCACAGCCACGCCCCCGGTCTGGGCAGGGGATGTGGCCGCACAGCCTGTGCACGGGCCCCCAGGCCTGCATCACCCTCCTGCCCGCTCCCCTCCGCCTTTTTTTGTGAAACGTAATTGAGCTTCAAAGAGTAGTTACGAAAGATGCGGTTATGGGAAAGCTTGGCGTGCGGATGGTGGAGGCGGCACGTCATGGGACCAGCGGCTGGTGTTTCTCTGGCCCGTGGCTCCGTGGTGGGGTGTGTCCCGTTGTTAAGCCTTGCGTGCTCAGTGGTTAGGGCTGTGACTTCTGTACCTGGTCCTCCCAGAGCCTCGGCCTCTGGCCCAGCGCTGCCTTTTCTTACCCCGCCCCCCTGGCTCCTGGCCGGGGAGGCCCTCGGCCCACGGAGCCTCCCGGGCCTCTCCCTGGTCCCACATACACGGTCTGCTGTGGGGTCTCTAGTCCGTCTCCCACAGAGCCCACGTCCTCGTCCCGCTGTGACCCAAACCCGGCCCGGAGCTGCGGGAGGGGCCCTGGTGCATGTCCCCGAGCGGGTGGCTCCGAGAGACACCCTGCTCATCACACACAAGTTACATAGCAGCCAGCCATAGCCGGTCCCTCCCGGAGCCCAGCCGGCCACCAGGTGCCCCTGCAATGCTTCTCCTCCCCCAGAGCTTTCACAGACCCTCCTCCTGCCTCCTGGGGCCCTGCCCCGCTGCCCCCACAGTGCCCGCACCCCCCTTCCCCCCGCCAGCCGCACCTGGCCTTGGTGACACCACAGCCACAGAGACCTCTGTGTCCCTCTGGTCGACCCTGGCCCTTCACTGTCATTAATTCTTGCTTTCCTTTTGGTTCTAAGCAAGGAAGGGAACCGAGGTGTGGGGGCCATTGCACAGTGTGGGGGGCACAGTGTGGGGTGCACAATGGGGGTCATTGCACAGTGTGGGGGCCATTGCACAATGCGGGAGGCGCAGTGGGGGGGCCATGGCACAGTGTGGGGGCCATTGCACAGTGTGGGGGGCGCAGTGGGGGGTCAGCCCTCAGCACCGTGACACCTGCTCTCTGTCTCCACAGGCCCCAGCATGTAGCGCAGGGTCCCGGCGCCCATCCAGGTGAGAGCGGCGCGCACGCGGAGGGGCTGTGGGGACCCGGAGCCACAGAAAGGCGGCGCCTTGGGGCTCCTGAGACAGCTGAGAGCTCCGGGCGGCCGACTGTGCATGGAACCACGTGTTCCCCGGCGAGTGCGCTGGGCTCGTCCGCTGCTGGCTACGGACTCCGGACAGCCCGGCAGAACTCGGTGCAGGAGTGCGTCACCCAGGTGACTGAGCGGGCTGTTTCTGTGCAGAAAATGGGAAAGGAGCCGAGGGCGGAAGGAAGGCGCAGGGGTGAAGACGCGGAGTGCGGCGCGCGGCAGCCGGGGCGTCTCAGCGGCACAGCCGAGGCCTGAGCGCCCATGCAGAGGGAGCGGCGGACCCAGGCGTCTAGAGGAGGTAATCGCGGGGCGTGCTCAGGGGTGATGCCATGGGGCGCTCACAGGGGTGACGTCACCCCCCTTCGCTCACAGGGGTGACGTCATGGGGCACTCATGGGGTGACGTCATGGGGGCACGCACAGGGGTGACGTCATGGGGCGGCGCTCTGGGACTGAAGGTTGCTCCCCACTGAGGCTTCCTGCCTCCACCCTGGACAGCACCTGTGAGAGGCGCCCCGAGGTGGGCGCATGGAGTGGGCACAAAACTGCAGCCTTGAGCTGCTGCCCCTGGTCCAGGCGGGCAGGCCCCTCCCGGTGTTGGTGCCCAGTGCGCAGGGTGCTCAGGGCCACCTCTGCCCGCTGGTGGTGACAGGCGTCAGGACAGGCAGTCCTGTCTCAGATGCGGAGGTCAGTGGGCACAGGGCCTCCTCTCCAGCGGGGCGGGCGGCCCTCAGGCGGCGCTGCATCCAGGCCCCTGTCCCTCTGGCCTTTTAGGACCTGGTGGTGTAGGAAGTGACCTCCCTCCCTCGGGCTCTGAGCGGAGTCCCGTCGCGGGCACTGTGTCCTGGGCGATGTCGGAGGCACACCCGCCATCCTCCTGGTCCCCCTGGGCCGCCTGGCACTCAGTAGGTGATGTCTGTGGGGCTCCCCGCCCTGTGCCCCACTCTCCTTGGTGGCTGCTCGGTGGGCAGGGCTGTGCCTTTAGACGGAAGGGGCCTGGCCCTGGCCCCGGTGTGGTGCAGCCTCCGCCCTCTGCACACCGAGGCTCGGAGGGACGTCCTCTGACTTCCTTTCTCCGGAACCTGAGCCTTGATGACATCACCGGAATGTTCAGATATTCATTAACGTGCCTTTTCTCTTGCAGAAGCCAAAGATGTTGACCAGAAAGATTAAACTCTGGGACATAAACGCCCACATCACCTGCCGTCTGTGCAGCGGGTACCTCATCGACGCGACCACCGTGACCGAGTGTCTGCACACGTGTATGTGAGAGTATTCTAGAGCCTGGCCTCTGACTGCGTGTGCATGCACACTGTCTGACCACGTGCACACGTGCGTGTGAAAATGTCTAGAACGTGGCCTCTGACAGTTACTAGTCAGCTGTTCTTTGATACTTTGGCTTTTTTTTTTAAACAAAAGTTTTAGCTCAAGTACAAGGCAGGACACAGAAGCAGGAATAGAAACGATCTTGAGGATACCTCAGAAAAAATGCTTTCAGAATAAAACACTGAGGGTGTTTCAGTAGAGATGCCACTTCAGGAAGCTCAGTCTGGGGATGCTGTGATTTGACTGAACAGACAACTGTCACGGGGACTTTACTCCTGACGGGCAGAAGCGCTGGTTTTCTTGACTGTTTCCACGGAGGGATCGCTGGCCCCGCCTGATGAGGTTGAATGCAGGGTCTCGGCTGTTTCTAAGCACAGCCTCACCCAGCAAGCAGACGGCATGGTTCCTGGAGATGCAGCTCCAGGGCCTGGCAGGCAGGATCTCAGACTACAACAAAGCCTGTAATACCTGCACATTTACTTTCTCTCACTTTTTAAATTGACTTTAGAGTGAGGAAGGGGGAGGGAGACATCGTGTGAGACAGAAGCATCAATTGCTTGCCTCCCATAGGCTCCCCGACCAGCACATGCCCTTGGCCAGGAATCGAACCCGCAGCCTCTTGGTGCACGGACGACGCTCCAACTGAGCCATCCGGCCGGGCCTGTAACTTTTTCATCCTGTGTTTTTCACTTGAGAAAGTAAAACATTTTCCAATCTTAAGAGTTTTTCATTTAAAGTGAGCTGTGTTTGTAGATAATGGGGGGGGGGTGAAATTTATGTTGTTTTTACTGAATTTCTGATGCACAAAAGAAGTCCTGTGAACTCTCAGGCCAGCATAGCACTGGACCGCTAGCCCGAGTGAGACCGAGCCCAGCGCTTTCCCCGCTCTGGCCTCTGTTGCTCCTCGTCTCCTCACGAGGCAGCAGGGGTGCAGCTGACAGCAGGGTGGGGGGCAGGGCGGGGAGGGCGGGCCCGGGCGCCTGGGTAACTCTGCCTGTGCCCGCAGTCTGCCGGAGCTGCCTGGTCAAGTACCTGGAGGAGAACAACACCTGTCCCACCTGCAGGATCGTCATCCACCAGAGCCACCCGCTGCAGTACATCGGGTGAGCGCCCCTGTGGGCCAGCTGGGGGCACGGGACTTCAGGGCTGCCGTCCACGGGACTGAGGAGTCCAGCAGGCATGAACTCGGGCCGTGGGGGGACTTGCCCAGAAGGAACTCGGGCCACGGGACGCCTTTCTGAGGGGAACTCGGGCCATAGGAGGCCTTGCCTAGAGGGAACTCGGGCCACGGGAGGCCTTGCCTAGAGGGAACTCGGGCCACGGGAGGCCTTGCCTAGAGGGAACTCGGGCCACGGGAGGCCTTGCCTAGAGCGGACTCGGGCCACGGGAGGCCTTGCCTAGAGGGGACTTGGGCCACGGGAGGCCTTGCCTAGAGGGGACTCGGGCCACGGGAGGCCTTGCCTAGAGGGGACTCGGGCCACGGGAGGCCTTGCCTAGAGGGGACTCGGGCCACGGGAGGCCTTGCCTAGAGGGGACTCGGGCCACGGGAGGCCTTGCCTAGAGGGGACTCGGGCCACGGGAGGCCTTGCCTAGAGGGGACTCGGGCCACGGGAGGCCTTGCCTAGAGGGGACTCGGGCCACGGGAGGCCTTGCCTAGAGGGGACTCGGGCCACGGGAGGCCTTGCCTAGAGGGGACTCGGGCCACGGGAGGCCTTGCCTAGAGGGGACTCGGGCCACGGGAGGCCTTGCCTAGAGGGGACTCGGGCCACGGGAGGCCTTGCCTAGAGGGGACTCGGGCCACGGGAGGCCTTGCCTAGAGGGGACTCGGGCCACGGGAGGCCTTGCCTAGAGGGGACTCGGGCCACGGGAGGCCTTGCCTAGAGGGGACTCGGACCACGGGAGGCCTTGCCTAGAGGGGACTCGGGCCACGGGAGGCCTTGCCTAGAGGGGACTCGGACCACGGGAGGCCTTGCAGAGAAGTGTGAGAGGCAAGGCGATCCTGTTGGCTAACCTGTGCTGCTCTCCCTGCAGGCATGACAGGACCATGCAGGACATCGTGTACAAGCTGGTGCCAGGCCTGCAGGAAGGTGCGTGTGGGGCGCCCGCTCCCGCCCCCGGGTGCCTCTCCCCACAGTGGGCGGGGCAGGGCAGAGCTGGACATGAGGCCCCTCCTTCTGGCAGAACCGCCATCTGTCCCTGCTCTGAACTCACTGGCATCTCCGGCTGGTCTCCTCCGTCGTCTGTCCCTCGTCTGCACCCTCAGCCCGGAAGCCCTGGTGTGGGCATCGTGCGGCCAGCGCTGTCTGGGCTGTGGGGGCACAGCTGGTATGGGTGCCAGTCAGTGTAACTGTACTTACAGAATTAAAAAGAAACGCTCTGTACTACACCCATCCTGAAAGTGGGAGTGGCCGTTCTTTCAAAAGTTCTGCATAGCCCTGGCTGGTTTGGCTCAATGGATAGAGCCTCAGCCTGTGGACTGAAGGGTCCCGGGTTCGATTCCGGTCAAGGGCGCAGGCCTGGATTGTGGGCTCTATCCCCGGGGCGGGGGGGGGAGGGGCAGCTGATTCATGATTCTCACTTATCATCGATGTTTCTATCTCTCCCTTTTTCTTCCTCTCTGAAATCAATAAAAATAAGTTTAAAAAAAAAAAAAGTTCTGCGCAGTGCTCAAGGCTGAGACTGTCCCCACCTTTGTCGGGCGGGGGGGGGCGGCGAGCTCTGTTCCACACAGGCAGCAGGCTGGCACTACCTGCTGGCGAGACTCGGGTGCCCTCCACGGTGAGGCGGGTAGGGAGTCCGGAGAGGGTTATAGTTTAAGGTTCAGCTCCTGCCTTAGGTCATAGAGAGCGTCTGGGCTTTAACCTGTAACTCGGGGGTTAGAGCCTTTCCTGAAACGCCCCTACGCGTGTAGGCGGGAGAGCATAGTCCTGGAACCCGCAAAGTCACTAGAGAGGGTTTTAGACGTGCAGCCGTGGGCAGGATCCGTCACACCTGGGACCCGTGTCCGTCCTTGCTGGGCCGCTCGGGGGCCCTGGGAACCCCACTTCAAGGTGGTTCTCCTTCATGCGGCTTCCAGCTTTGTAATCATCTGTGCTCTTTGTGTGATGTTTGTGAATAGAACGTTCGTATAACGCGTGGCCTGCTCCAGATTAAAGGTTGTTACTGATCTTTCATAGCGGAAATGAGAAAACAGAGGGAATTCTACCACAAACTGGGCATGGAGGTGCCTGGAGACATCAAGGGGGAGACTGGTTCTGCGAAGCAGCACTCGGACCCCCATCGGAATGGTAAGCGACGGATCGCTGTCAGGCTGTTCCTGAGAGCTCCCGTCCCTGTCCCTGTCCTCCGTCCCTGTCCCCCTGTCCCCCATCCCCTGTCCCCATCCCCTGTGTCCCCTTTACTCTGTCCCCATCCTCCGTCCCCATCCCCTGTCCCCTGTCCTCATCCCCTGTTCCAATCCCTTGTCCCCGTCTGCCTCCTCTCAACCCCAAGCAGTTTGTAGTGCAGAGTAATAACCTTTGTGAAAGTCAGTGACATGGTTGTTCCTGTAGGTTAGGCACAGAGGGCACCCGGGGGCACGGCCAGTGGCTCCTGACACTCCCTGAGTTTGGGGAGTTTTGCTGTAGATGGCAAAGTGGCACGTGGCTTCCATGTAAAGTTAACGGCATTTAAATCTGCACATCGAGTAACAAATGGAAGAAATCTCTGATGCCCTGGCATTTTCCTGTGGACCACACAGTCCCTGGGAGCCTGAGGCCTCTGTGCTTTTGTAACCGTCGGGAGGACGGGCGGGCTGCCGTCACCTCCACCGACCCTGCTGGTGCCGCTGGACCCGGGAGGCGGGGACCGTGCTGGGGACCCGGCAGTCTGTCCCACGTGGCAGCCACGGGCGTCTTCATTTCAAAGTGGCGAGGAGTTGGCCCGCGCGGCTCAGTGGTTGAGTGTTGACCTGTGAACCAGGAGGTCACTGCTCAATTCCTGGTTAGGGCCCAGGCGCAGGTTTCAGGCTCAACCCCCAGTCTGGGGTGTGCAGGAGGCAGCCGATCCATGATTCTCTCGCATCATTGATGTTTCTCTCTCTCTCCCTCTCCCTTCCTCTCTCTGAAATCAATGAAAATCTATTTTTAACCCTTTGTGCGCCATAAGCATCTATAGACACAATTAAATTCAAAATATCGTGGCATGTGGTGATGGTTTCCGTTTTGGACGCGGGGCAGTTACTGGTTAAATAAATGGTTTTGAGCTGTGCTGTGCAGGGCACCGTGCAGACTGGAGGTGGAGGTAGTAAGTGTTGAGCAGCAGCGGGTGGCCGAGCCGCTGTGGCCCCTTTCAGCTCCTCGGAGCCCGCCTCGGGCCTGCCTGAGGGGCACGCGGCTCACACACTTGTCCCCCGCCCCCGGCATGTGCTTTATGGTGCAAATTCTTACTGCTCTGTTTTTTAGTGTGTTTTTAAAATATATGTAATTTTAAAAAAATTTTAAATATATTTTATTGATTTCAGAAAGGAAGGGAGAGAGAGAGACAGAAACATCAGTGATGAGAGAGAATTACTGATTGGCTGCCTCCTGCATGACCTCCCCCCCCCACCCCCCCCTGCCGGGGATCAAGCCCACGACCTGGGTGTGTGTCCTGACGGGGAATGGAGCTGTGACCTCCTGGTTCATAGGTTGATGCTCAGCCCCTGAGCCCCACCAGCCGCGCCTTACGCTGGTTTTTATAGCATTTCCGGTGTACAGCAGAGTGACCGGCTCAGCCTTTTGGGTTTAATAACAAACACAGTGTATTCTCTTCTGCTAAAAGGTGAAACCAAAGCAGACGAGAGCTCCCACACGGAGGCTGCGGAGGAGAAGCAGGAGGAGGACAGCGACTACCACCGGAGCGACGAACAGGTCCGTGTCTTTGCACCCCTGTGCCCTGCGTTCCCTAAGG